AGCCCGGCCGGCCGGGTCGACCGGAGCGCCGCGACGACGCGTTGCTGCTCCCGTAGCCGCTTTCCGTCGGGTCCGCGCGGGAGCCTAACACCTTGGAGGACATCGAGCGGTGCGTGGAGGCCAGGTCGTTGCCTTCCCCGTCGAGGCTTTTGGGCGGCGGGGAGGTCGTGTGGGGGCGCACGGAGTCGCGTCTCATATCCGCCGCGCTCAGTTGGAGGCCGGTAGAGGTAGACGCTGCCAACCCTCTCTTGGGATAACTTTCTAGGTTGAAAGTCATCGCGGACAACGGCAGTAACGGCACCTTCTTAGTGGCCAGGGTGGAGCCGTTGGGAAGAGAGCCGGATCGCTTAGGCTTCGGAGATCTGGCCTTCGATGCGGGCGACTTCCTTTTAGGGCGTCTCGCGACCTTTTTGGATCTCTTTGCGTCGCCATTCGATTTACTTACGTGGCCTGAGGGCTTTACGTCTCCTAAGGCCTCGGGTTTCTTTAAAAGTTTTGTCTGTTCCACCTCTGGGACACCATTGCGAGGCTGACTACCGCTGTGGGGGGCCGAGGCCGACGCATGGTGGTCTGAGTTGTTGATTTCATGCAAACTTTGCACCTTGCTAAAAGCGGCTGAAGTGTCAGACTCAGCGTTGCCAGAACAATGGCTAGGCTCCTCCAGATCGTTTGTCATATTTATGTTACAAATTTTTGGGTACACGGTACTGTTGCGTGCTGTAGCGATGTCAGTAGCAACAGTTTTATCTTGTTCACAACTTCGTTTTGCTTTAATCTCTAAGAAAAAATTAAAACCTCATAAGTCAAATCACAATAAAAGGTGTACTTGGATAAAGGCAAAGAAGGGCTAAACAAACCCACGCGCCTACAAATTAACCGACACGAAAAAGACTAATAATAAAAAAATGTATACACAAAGAAAGTATAAAAAGAAAAAGAAAGCGGAAAGGTATCTTCTCAAATAAAAGGAAAAAAATAGCAAAAAGTGGAGAAATGCAGAGAAGGGATGCAAAAAGATCTATACCCTACAGAGGGAATGAAATGATAAATGGAATGAGATAACAGAGCTGCATCGTATGGATGGCATTCAGTTTGTCTTAAACAGAAAGATCATGGAAATTTCTCACTTGCCTTACCATGATTTTAAGGAAAAAAAGGAAAACGATTGACAATAATGACTAACAAAAGGGTAAAAAAAGACCAGTAATTCAGCAAGCCAAGCGTTACTCACGCATAACAGTGCAATATACCAAACAGCGAGAGATATATCCACATCAAGCAAATGAACGATGAGAATTGAGAAAAATATGAACCCATTAATTGCTAAAAAAAAAAAGAAAAAAGAAAGAACTCGGAATTATGTAAGAAACTGACTTCCCCCATCCACCTCTCTCTCACAAACATACACCGCAAACTATTTAAGCCTAAGAAAAAAAAGTGTCTCCATATGAGAAAAATAGGCATCTAACCCGCCTCATATCTGGTCCCCCAGATAATCGAATCTAAGAAGAACAGAACGATGGAAAGCATTCGCTGCCACTAAAATGAAAAATTACTGAAAGAAAAGTAATTATATATACATATGATTGTCACCTAAGAAAAAAGAAGGCGACTAATAAATATCCACAATTTTTATTTTACTCAATATCGAATGGAAAAATTCCATAGCAAATCAATTAACAAACGAATTTGATGATAATATATATGTATATATATGAGTATATATCTATAGCTTACTTTTTATCCTCTATGGGGCTTCAACTTGCTGTTTTAAGTTAGATGAAATTAATTAGCGACAGGTGTAAAACCAGGAAAAATCAAAAACGACTAGAAAGGGCCACTTAATCAAACGTGACTATGCATGTTTGGATATGTATGGGCGCATAGTTTGATCGATGCGCTAACCGGTCTCGCTCAAGTCTCTTCCCCCTATGAAATAGGCACAGAAATAAAACCTAGGGGAGTGTATTAGAGACACGATACGAGGAGCAGATGTCCTAAGTGCGCACGCACATGTATCCACGTAACTCCGTTTATCGAACTAATATACAAGATTCTCGGAAATTATAGCCGCGCTACATTTTACATAGAAGGTGCAAAGAATACGAGAGAAAAAGGTCATCGATATACATTCAATCAAAAAAAAATCAGTGGGCTAAGCCTTTAACTCTCCAGACGCCTTCTCTCTCCCGCCCCTCTCTCTCCTCTCCTTCCCTTCCCTTCCCTCCCCGCTTACACACCAACAGCCGGACGCCGAAAGGAGCGATAAGATCTAATCCCTTTCCACGGGCATTGATGGGTGTGGTGGCGCCCAGCGCAGATGCTTTGAAAATGTGCGATGAAAGAATGGATGCTTTAGGAGCTGCTGCGCCGTCCACCGGTCCTCCGGCTTCAACTCCAGGCAGTGCACTAAAAAGTCGCGGTAGATGGAAAACGCCTCGAGCTTCTCCGCATCGCTCTCCGTCCCGGACCCTTGGAAGGAATTTCTCAGTTCCTCCTCGCTCAGGAGGCCATCCGGCGGCGAGGTGGATCGCGCGATGTGGTACATCACCGCGAAGGGGTGGGTATGGACATCCCCAAAGGACCATATCGGGCGGTCGAGCATCTCGATACCGATACACCCCACCGCCCAGATGTCGGCGGCCGCCGGGGAGGCCTTCTTTCCCGCCTCGGAGAGTTCCCCGTGGATCACCTCCGGCGCCATCCAGAGCGGCGTTCCGATCGGGAACGCCACCGTCGCCGTCTTCGACGACGGCCTCCCCTCCCCTGCCTCCGCGGAGTTGTCCGCGCCGGAGGACCCGCTAGGGGGTCGCGACGCGGCCTCGCCGCCCTCGCCCGCCTCGCAGGGCGTCGGATCGGCCTGCATCCGGATCTCAACCTGCTGCGCGAGGGTATCGCTGCAGCCGAAGTCCGCCAACCGCACCTTGCCACGTTTGTTGAGCAAGATGTTGTCGCCCTTGAGGTCACGGTGGACGATGTTGAGGGAGTGGAGGTGGCTGAGCCCCATGAGGATCTGCGTCATGTACTTCTGAATCGCGAGCAGCGGCATCGCGCCGAACCGCTTCACCATTGTCGAGATCGTACCGCACTCGAGGTACTCCGTAAAAACGCGGAGCCGGTACATCTCCGGGAGATACACGCTGCCCAAGAAGCGGATGATGTTCTTGTGTTGGGTGTTGCACAGAATACTCAGCTCGTTCTGAATGCTCTGCAGGGTCTCCGGGCTGGTCTCCGCGCTCAGGCAGAGCTCCTTCACCGCCACAATCAACGGCCCGTCGCTCGTCAGCAGGAAGCCCTGGTAGACGGTGCCGAAGGTGCCGCGGCCGAGGACGCTGCCGAGTTGCACCGTCTCGAGGTCCTCCTGCGTGAAGCGATCCAGCCGGCTCCGCCGCACCACCGACGACTGCGTGCTCATCATTCCCGTGTTTTGGCTTTGCGAGCGGCCGAACCCCGGCAACGCGTAGGTCCCTCGCAGCGGATCCAACGCCTGCGACGTCAACGCGACGGCGGAGGGCGAGGAGGCCACGCTCCCCCGTTCCTCACCCTCCACCCCGACGAGCAGCGACGACGACGCCTGATTGGGAGAGGTCGAGGTCGCCGGCATGGGGTGGATTGCGTGGAGGGGGGGAGGACGCGCCCCGCCCTCCTTCGCGAGGTCGAACAGCCGGAGGACGGTGGGGTGCCGCATCAGCACGGGCTCCCGCGTGATCGCGTCGACGCAGCGCTGGCATTCCACGCGGCGCTGCTCAATAAAGGCCTCCGTGGCGATCCGAAGGCTCGGGATGACGTGCGAGGGGACCGGAAAAGACCGCATGAGGCCGCTCCCTTCCGCCATCAGCTTCACCTGGTTAAAGGCGGGGAGGAGGTCACTGTAGAGGTTTCGCCGGACGCGGTGGAGCTCCTCGCCGCCGGCGAGGGTGCTCCGCACGTGGAGCTCGAAGGTGATCTTTTTCACCTCCACCCCGCTGCTCCCGTCGCTCACGTGGATCGTCTCCGACGGCGTGGGCGGCGTCGCGGCGGCGTCGGAGGCCTCCGTGGAGGGGCCGGCGCGGGTGCGAGTCCCCCCCCCTCCGCCTCCTCCCTTCCCCCCGCCATGCGGCTGGTGGGAATAACGGATGACGGTGAACTTCCCCTTCTGCACCACCGCCGCGGAGCGCGCCGTTTGCT